CATGTGGGAGAGACAGAGTGACTTTTTTCGGGCATTGTACACTGTGTTTTGGTTTATTTTCAATGGAGTCTATTGATAGCACTTTAACGAGACTTTATTGAAAAAAGAAAACTCATCTAGTTTGTTTTTTTAAACATTCTTGCCTCTAATGACCTCTTGTGCTTTTTTGATAGTTCAAAGAGGGGACATGGATGATTTAACTTGAGTCTTCTTCCATTTCACTTCACTTCCTCTTCACGTTGTCTCAGCCTCACACCTGTAACAGCACATGCACATTGTTGTTACTCCAGTTTTTCATCTTAATTTCTCTGTGTTTATCTCCATGTATGTCCTGGTCCTATCCCCTCTCTCTTTCCTCCCTTTTTCCACCCTGGTCTCTAGGCAATAGGGATTAGAGTGGCGGGGCCATAAGCAGTCTATTTATATCAACAACAGCCTATGGAAGAACAGCAGGCTGTGGCTTAGCACATTAACACACAAAACTATGATATAAAGCGGATCCTCGCAGACTTGTATTGATCAAAGCTTTAAAAGCTTAAGGATGAGATAGAGATGTACCTTACATCACCCTGTTAAATAGAGAATGAGTCCCATGGTGCTTAGACTCATCTGTCCAAGTATGTGCTGTGGTTATGAGTCCAGCAGTTGCATTATGTCTTCAAAGGCTGGTCTGTTGACGTGCAGGTAAAGAGAGCATTTTGTCAGAGTATTGAGTGTGCTTGACTCTGATTAATTGTGATGTTGTGGAAGCTTTGTTATGAATAGCAATCACTACTTCCTGAACCACTGTTCTCGACTGGTGTATCACATGGCACTGTGGGGTTTTCAAATGTCAAATATATTCAAGGAAAGTACAGATTACAAGAAAATGAGTTACCTCACTGATTTCTGGAGGTCTCACGCATTTGTTTCCATCCATGCTGTTTGAAGTGTCATTTGGAAAGTGCGTTAGTTAAATTTTATGAGGGCATAGTGACACTAAGCAAGTTCCCAAGTGTCATTTTTGCTATGGTTGCATTTTGCCTTATCAGATAAAGTCTTATCTAAGTTGGCCACCAGGAGAGACAACCAGTCTCTAAACTATGATTTATCCATGTCACAGTGCAGGTGTACTTTATACTCTACCTCTTCAACATCCTTTGTTTTCCTTCCCTGACTCCTTCCCCTTTTAATCCTCCCTCCTTGTTGTATGCCTCTCAGCGTATCATACTCTAGCTCTTCTCTTGTTGACAGTGCCAGATATGTGTCTACGCTTGGTGGGCCGTCTCCAGACAGGTTATAAATAACTAGCAGAGTTTTTGCTTCATGTCCTGAGAGCTCTACTTTCTTCTCACACTTGAGGAACCATGGGAAAAGAATCTTTCCCTTACGCACATGGCACTCATAATAACAGACACGGTTATACATAAAACCTCCAAGCACATGTGCCCATTTGCAAGCTCTGCACAAACACACAGAAACAGTTATGCATGCACACACAGAATAAACCTTGGTGGCTTATACAGTAAGGTTGCAGTACTAAAATAGCAAGGTTATAAGAACAGGGGCACTGTTTATAATGAAATGTTAACTTACGTTACATAACCTGCACTGTGGGAATGCGGAGTACATTTCTACTGTCATGCAAGTATGGGAAACTTGCTGAAACAACAGAATGGGATAAAAGTCTGGGAGTGCGAAAAATAGAAGGAACAAGAAAACAACCACATTGGAAAAGTAAAATGAGGAGAGGGAGTGGAAAAAGAGTTCAGTGGATAAGCATTATTTTGCTCCTAGTTACATACCAGATTGAAGACGGGGGTGTTATGTTATGGGTACACGAAGGGGTTGTTGTGAGTTTATGTGTAGAGGAGTGACAGTGAAACAGCGTTAATGTGGACTATAGTTGGGAGTCGGGGAGAATTCAGGGGTTGGCAGGTCAGACTCTGCTGACACACTGGGATCAGTGATGGGATTGTTTCCATTGGAAAGAATTCCAAGAATGAGCTAGAAGAGCTATCAGTGACTTCACTCAGAGAGCTCTGACAACAGTTTTAATACACAGCCAGGCACACACTCTCACACACATTTTAGGATACTGTGTCTCATGCCAACAATGGTGTGCGAGACACACTCCGTTCCCCTATGTCACAGAGTCACTCTCACTGACTACTCATCTTACCATTTGTAAAATGAATGCTGTCACCTCTGACCACCAGCACCAGCACCAGTGGTTTGGAAAAAGATTAACTGTATAAAGAAATTACTTTCATACAAGAGATACGAGAGATAAAGTGGTTCAAATCTGCTGTAAAAGTCAGCTAAAACATGAGGGCATGTTCAAAGGGCAATATAAGACTAAAGCCCCTGAAAACTTGATATCAAATCCTATTTTTTATTTATTTACATAAAATATCCATGACCACATAAACAACAATAACATTTAAAGTTATGGGAAAAATGCCCCAGTGAGTCATTTATTAGGAGTGTTAAAGAAAAGTTGGACATTTTGGGAAATATGCTTTCTTGCAGAGAGTTAAAAGAAGATTTGATACCACTCTCATGTCTATACAGTAAATATAAAACTGAAGCCAGTAGCCATTTATCTTAGCAAAGCATAGCAGTTTTTGGATGGATGAAACAAACAAACTATAACGTGTTAATTAGTCAGCTTTAGATGCGCTAGTATGCGGGTTACCTTTGGACAGAACCAGGCTAGCTGTTTTCCCCTGATGTGACTCTTTATGCAAAACTAAGCTGAGTGATTACTGGGTCCTGATTGGTGCATGAAAGTATGTGACATTATTTCCAAAGTAAGCCTCGTCCACTTAAAACCAGTGAGAAAAACACTGAAAAAAAAGGACTATAGTAATAATACATATATACATTTATCATACTATATTAATAAAGTGAAATAACTTTTCTAGTCTGACAGTAGATGTTGTGCTCATATAGGATCCCATCATTCAAAGTAAAAAAAAACTGGTTAAGAAAGTGAGTTTTCAGAGCCTTTAAAGTGAGATCTTTCTGTTTGCTGCCACTGAGAATTTCTGTAGTTGAACCATGAACATGATGGAAAAAACATCACTAAAAACATAACTCCTGTTAACCGGTTCTTTCAGCTCACAGTCTCAGTTTTAGTGCTTCAATCAGGTCTGAAAAAGCACAGCCGTACCTTGCAAAAATATGTTGGTTTTTTTTGTAAAAACAGGAAGATTAGGAAAAACAGTCAACTTTCAGTTCAACTGTGTACAGCTTCGAGCAATTCTCAGTTTCTGTCTTTCTTAAAAAACAACCCCAAAGTACAAACAAGATCAATGTACTACAAGGCCTCAGGGGTTGGCTCCTTTGGAACAAATATTTACACATCTATCATTGGGTCTGTACATTGCTTTATCAGCTTCTGTTTCAAAAATTTATATATATATATATATATAAAAAACATCTCTTAATTTTAAGTCCTCACTCAGCTTTGACCTTTTGAAAAATAACCTGCTGGCGTTACATTTAGTTCTCAATGTTATTGCCAAATTATTGTGTGAGAAAGTGTGTTTTCTATGTGTATTGCATCTCAGGTGGGAGTGATGCTTAAGTGTCAAGGGCAATGGGATGGCATCAAAAATTTTAATTACCGGTTGCATTAAAAAGTCTTTAATTGCTAAGGTTCCTTAGTGAGTTAATCAGCTGAGAAATGGCTGAAGAAGAAGAGCTGAAGATAAGAGCTGCTCAAAATGTCAAAATGCTATGGAAATATGCTTCAGGGGCTTCCTTTCATGTCTCCTTAAGTCCCAGAAACACATAAACCTTCTTGATTAAAACTGAAGTATATTGCTTTCTTGCTACTCCTCTCTCCAGTAATATTTGAGAGACGCCGCAAAGTTCAGAGGTTTCTGGTGGACGTCACTTGATTACGTAGCTAGATGCTAGATCAGTCAGTCTCTCTAAGGACTGTGAATGTCCTTTTCTAACTTCTTATGATTTCTTCTTTCCATGATCTCATGATATTTTGCACTGAGATCAAGGAGCAGTAAAGAAAGGGATAAAGGAAATTCCTTTATGACACACTCTGCTGCTGACCACCATTATCAGCTGGGGGTATTAATAACTCTTTATGCTCCATTTTTTCCAGGAAGAAGGAAGCAGGATAGAATGTCAGTTCATTGTTCCCCTTCCAGGAAGTGACCGTAAGGCCCTGAGAGTACCACCTTGGCCAATCTATCAGGCCCTTGGCCCCAGAAGGCCCTGCCACAGAAACTCTGATGGACTATTCCGGGTACTAGGCGATCAAACTTGACCCAGTGGTTCTCTAATACAGTACATAGCAGCAAATCACCTAAGAAGTTTCCATTGTAACAGTGATCAGAAAGCGCTGTTTATTCCTGTAAATCCCCCCACTTCCCCATTAGAACTTTTCCACTGAACCACATTTTATTAGTCTTGTATCATTGTGGTGAGTGTTTATGGGTAGAGCGTGAGGAGTTGCTTCCACAGGCTTTTATACCCTGTACTATCCTCAATATTATTGCAACTGTAAAACCTACAATAGTTGGTAGGTCAACCAAATTTCTCCAGAATGCTGGACAGCATCATTGTGATTTTTGAAAAGATTTAAGAACATTGAAATGAAAGCTGTTCAGTGCTCAGGAATTAGATTTTGTTGTGTCTAAGAGTGAGATTGTGTGCAAGTTGAAGACAGGAAATAGCATGTGGCCTGTTCTCGCTTCTACATATACGTATTTGATACATGCATCTATATTCGTAGAGAGATTCTGAATGTGAGAGATGCAGAGCAGGAAGCGCTACTGCTTTTCTCTAACCACTGCAGGTGAAGTGAGTGGGGAAAGTAAGGGGGGGGTTTCACAAAGAAAAATGAAAGTAAACACAAAAGTAAAGTCTCTTGGAAACAATACTTTAAATGCAGTGGAGGATTACCCTTGTAAAAGACTAATTTACTTAATCTTGTACCATAGAAATGGCAGCACCCCTTCATAGTCAATTATTCTCACAGCAGAGCCACACAGTTGGATAGCAAATTCAAATGTTTATTTACAGCCTCTGTAATCGTCACAGAGAAAAGTGGTCTAAATACAAAAAAAAACAAAAAAAAAAAACACCAAAAACAAGAGCAAGATGGCGGCTAATCTCCCTGAGCTTTACAAAAACAATGTGGGACCTGTAGGTGACAGACAGGAGAAAGAGAGAGATGTTCTGTACACAGCCCTAATGCCACTCAAATGAGAAATTACATAAAGAACAGACATATCTCAATCATGCTTGTACAATAGTATTTCATATTGTGTACACAAAAGTGAAATCTTTTCCACAAACTGACTGACACAATTTGTCACAACACAAACAATAAGTGTTGATTCAAAGAGTGAACAAAAGAACAAATAAAATGACAGACATTACGAAGAACGAATAAGATTTCCCATAAACTGCTTTTGGCAAACATCAGGACTAACTGTATTGTGAATAGAGTTTAATATGGTTTCAGATATTGCCTAACTTATTTGTGAACTCTGTCCTACAGTGTGAATTCACTGCTACCTGAACTTCACTGTGTCAAAAGTGTGACTGTTTTCATAAAGAACAGGAAGACTATGAAAGACAGTCAACTTTCAGTTCAGGTGTGTATAGCTCAGAGCGATTCTCAGTCTTCCAAAAAAAAAAAAAAAAACCAAACCCAAAGTACAGACAAGATCAGCACGCTACAAGGCCTTAGGGGTTGGCTCATTGGGAACAAGTATTTACGCATCCTTGATTGGGTTTGTACATTGCTCAGCATCAGCCGCTTTTTCAAAAATGACAATTGTCAGTCCTCATTCTGCACTGATCTTTTGAACAATAAACTGCTTATGTCAGATTTTGTTCTCAGTGTTGTACTATTTTGCTTTGTCATCCAACTAATGTTTGTAATAAGGCTTACAGCAGGTCGATGTGATGAGGATCATTGCATGACTGTTTAAAAAAACAAAAAAACTTACAATTAACTTATCACATAAGCGTAGCAGAGCATGCTGGTTACTTTTTTTTTTAAACTTTCTGCTTACTTCTCTAAAATTATTCCAGGCTGCCTTTTTACTGGGAATGCCTGATGCAATGTCCAAAAAAAATAAAAATAAATAATATTTATTTTTTTATTTATTTAGTGGAAGTTTAAGGGGGCAAACAAAAAAAATCCCAGTAACATTTTACACAAAAAACACCCAGTTCTCAATAAACAGACAAATCACAAAACATTCACTTCTCAGAAACAGACAACTCTAGAGACAGCAGTGGCAATCACAATAATTAACATATCAATCCAGGAACTGAACACAGGTATGGACAGTATACTGTAGACGATAATCCCCACGGGTACCACAATAGTTCTGTATGAGTGTATAAAGTCTCTGGGGTCATGACGCCAGCCATTTTGGAGTAAAGTACAGAGCAATTCTAGCCCCCTGCAGTGTAAGAGCTGTCCATGGAGCACTGAGCTGCCACTGTACAACAGGACATCCGTTCTGGGCCGAGACGCACACGTTGGTAGGCATGGTAGAAAGCAGGTGTGGGTTAGAGGTGTGCATGTCCGTTCTTTTCGGTTTTGGTGGGTTTGCAGTCCAGGAGGAAAAGTGATTGTGTGAGCAAAGTGTGTCGCCTGTGTGTATTGCTTTTTTTGTGGAGTGATGCTTTGGTGTCAAGGGCATCACGAGACACTGAATGTGCATCTGCCAGTCGAGCCTATTTGAGTGCTGAGGTGCTGTGGAACCAGTGCAGGAAAGGGAGAGTCCGTCAGAAAGAAAGGAGAGAGTATGGGTGCTGTAACACAGCCTCTAGTGCTGAGAATTCTCTGTTGGCTGTCCGTTTGGGATACTTCCATTATTCTGCTCCTCTTCCTCCTCTTCCTCTTCTTCCTCCTCCTCCTCCTCCTCCTCCTCACTAACCAGAAACTCCTCTGGGGGCCAGCGAAGCTCCCCGCTCTCGACTTCTCCGTCTGTCGGCTCAACCACGATGGATGGCAGACGATCTTTGAGCTTACAGCAACGGTCAAAGTCTGAGGGGTCGGGGAATATCTAAAGAGGAAAGACAAGCGTAAAATACTGGTTATTAATCTTTCATTAACCTCTGGAGTTAATACATTTACATTTTCTGAACTGCAGAGCAGGCTTTTTCAAGCTAGGGGAGTGAGCGGTCCCCTGTTGTAATACAAAAAGTTATTTGTGAGCATATTTCTGATCAGTGCTAGAGTGTGCGGTAGGGTCTGGGATACCAGAACTTAATATTGAGCCTTGTAGAAGTGTTGCAGGCACCACTACAAGGCTAAACAACTGTGAAGGAAGTGATGTGAAGACTAAACATCTGTGACTGGAAGTTCTTGCTTAAAATCCCAGTGGCATACCTGCACTTGCCCAGCCCACATTCCTCCAACAGCCAAGCTAGCTTTCCACATACTGTAGGTGCTCAACCAAAAACAAAATTACACAAGACTTAGAACAGTGGCTGTGAATGGGTAAATGAGGCATGTCTAGCGAGACTTACAGCAAACGCTGCATCGTGTTTAATCTAAATGCTTTGGAAGGCATCGGGCCAAGCAGCTTGTAGCTGCTTACGAACTCGTCCAGGACAGACTACTCAGAAGATTATACAAGAGCATAATCATAGCGTTTCAAATCAACAGTAAGTTGAAAACAAACGGTAAAGGTTTACTGGGGCATGATTGGTGCATAAATAGAAACATCCCAATGACAGTCAACATTTAGTGTTGCATACTTTATATTCCTGTGGAGATTCGGAGAGAGTTGGAAAAAAAGGTTTAGGAAAGAACATGAAATCGGCAGAGTTATCTGCAAATCCCAACTGATACGTCTGCTTATAAACGCAGCGTGCCACACTCAAATGTTTGGATCTAAACTGAAGGGCATGAGAGACATTCTGACAAGAAAGATTACATGCCTTCCCTGTCCTGGCAAGATTGGACATCAACCTCAGACTTTCTCTGTTCTCAGGAACCGGAGAAATGGCCCAGGGGAAAAAGCCTGCCACTCCTGGTCCAAGAACAGCATTTTTCGCTGTTGTTTGGATAAAGTGGATGAATATTTTTAGACCTGCATATTTCACTCCAAGACATTGGAGGGAGGGGGAGCGATGTCGCTCTCTGGGCAAAGAGCCGAGTGGAAAGAAAGCATTAGATGAAGGAGGAGAGAGACCGAGACAAGAAGAGATAGAGGGGATCCAGCTGTGTCCAAGTCTATGAATTCCATAGGAGACAGATGAGAAGGGAGGGAAAAGACAAAAAGCTATAAATATGCCTTGTGAAAGTGAGAATTTGTCAGGTTATGAAAGCATGTATTTGTCTATTGGAGGCGTCGCAGCCGAGTACAAGACCACGGCAAGGTGTGATTATATGCATCTAACTATGTGAGCCTGTGTGTGTGTTCATGTCTAATGCCTGTGTGTATTTGCATTTCCTGGTCTGCATCACCAATCCTCACTGTGCGTCAACACCAAGGGGAGTTAGGCAGTGAATGACCTTGCCTCTGGACCCCTAGCTAACACATGTCATAGCTTGTTTTACTTCCAGTGGGAGGAAGGGACAACACATCAGCCAGGCACAATGTTGGCTATTTTAGGCTCTTCTGGGGTGTTCAGTGGGGCTGGGGTTGGGTGGGGGTGCACACACTATATGTCTGAATCATGACATTGCCTTTTGAGATGATAATTCAGTAAATCAGGAACTATTTACTCACCCCTTTTCCACTAGTAGGCCACATTCATTTCAATACCTTTTATAGGTGCAACTGGAATTTAATGGTCACAATTTTTTTCAAAGCCCCCCCGAAGCCTCCATCATGGAAGAAGTGACTGATGACAACATGAAGCAGTGCTTCAGCATGCAATGCTTCTCTAAAGGAGTGGCTGGGACCTTGGGCAAATGGCCGAGGTGAGAAAATGTGGGGATGGAAAGAGTGTGGCAAAGTGGCACCCTCCTTTTCTCCCGTTTCCGCCTCTCATCCGCTCCTCTCATCCTCTCAGACAGACTCACAGCTGGGGTGTGAACTGTGGGGAAGAGGAAGCCAGCCTTTTCCTCTGGGTCAGTCTACATCCTCTCAGAGTCAGTGTCTACGTACGGCATGGCATTAGCAGTCTGTGGTATTGCGTTTATGGATGTGCACCTCATACAAATAATTCAATCTGGATTGAAATTACCCATCTTTCAACAGGAAATGGCCTTTTAACCCAGCAAGTTGTAAAAGTCGCAGAAGGTGGAAATTGCACAAGAATGTTTTGGTACTCAAGACCTTACGACACCAGCGGTGACTCTGACCCACCAGTTTAAGATGCAGCTCCACTAACCATTAGGCCAACTTCCTGTCCAAAATCATAAAATGAACTCAATTTCATCACATTTTAGAGTGAAATTGTTTGAGTAAGATGGGGCCCTTTAATTCTCTTTTCCCCCGGGTACAAATGTGACACTAAAATAAGCAAGCAGCTGTGTGATTAAGTAGTTTTGTTTCCAGGATGGCCCTGTTGAGCTGACAGTAAAACAAAGCTGCTGGCAACACCTTGTCAAGACCACCTGATGGCTGCTTCTCTCATCTCTCTGAATCTGGAGGGTTTATTTTTGTGACAGGCAGCAGTAAATTACACACAATTTTCCAGACAGATTTCCTTTGTATCTTTTAAGTTGTGACCAACCGTAACCTCAAATTTCCTCTTACCAACATATAAAAAGAGTAAAAGTAGAATTTTTCTGTAATATATTTTCTTAGCGTTGTAATTTCTTGTTTGTGCTCCCACCCAACTACTTATACTTCAGATATGCAAGTCATCTTGATGTTATTACACCTAAATGAAATCTAAAAATATAGTTGTCATAATGGTAAACAAGGTCAAACCTTTCTTAAATGTCCTTTTATAGAAAAAACTATTTAGCTTGGTCAAGGGTCTTGTAGCTTAAAATGAAAAACAAAATAGAAAAACTAAAAAAATGCAATGTTAAATAGTAAATTCCACTCTGTATGTATACACACACACACACACACACACACACAGTGACATTTCCAACATCTCATACAGAATACAGCTGCTGTTCCAGAATCACAACATACAGAGGCTCCTGTTCATGCTGATGTCAATATCCAAATCATGATAATGAATGGATGAAGACTGGTATAAAAATGCCCATGCCACATAAAAATGCATGGGTAATGAATTTCTCAGTGTCATAAGTGTGTGTCCTACCTGGAAGGAGAGTCTGTCCTTGCTGGGGCTGAGCCTCATGTCCTCCATTGGGGTGCTGTTGATCATCACCTCAGTCATATCTCGGCTGGGTACAAACACTGGGCTGCAGGGTTGAGAGAGGAAAAGTAATGTGATTAGATAAAACTACAAAAAGGCTCAGAGTGCTCATTCACAACCGAAATACATATAATGTGGTCCCTATGTGCTCTGTACTCAATATACTAGGGGACAAGAAGGTTGTATACAGCGAGGACAAACAGATACTGATGATAAAAACTGTTAAGGCATGTTACAAAGAGAAAACCAACAAACACCAAATCTATCAAACAGTCCGTATGCATACAAACATTCAAAGTCTGAAAGTCATTGTTGTTTTACCTGCACATGTTCGGCAGGTTTGTTTATACTCTTCACATCTTGACCACAACACACCAAGCATCCAGTCTGTGCTGTGCTAATGCACTGCAAAGCTGCACAGCTCATGCTGTGGCTTGCATAAGGTGGCCGTTTCTAAATACAGGATGATGTGCTCTTGCACTAGCAACCAGAGAACACAGTCATTGTGAGAGTGTGCTGGGGGCGTGCTGTGGTATTTGACTGGGGTGGAACTCTGCACTCAGTTCCATCAAAGCTTGGCCAAACTTTCCATATTAGATGAAAGTAACAAGAGGTTGTTTATCCAATGTTCAGTGCATTCACTATCCAGCATTGTCGTAGTAATACTTTAAACAAATGACTTGTAGCAGGTCCCAGGACTGACATAGTCATGGTCTTGAGACAAGATGCTGAGCGGCCTTCTCACGCTCTCTATTTAAAGCCCGGTGCCTTGTGGTCAGTGGCCACAAGCTTGTGGTTTGTGTGGTCACTGGCTACATAGAACAAAGAAAATAGAACAGGACAACAGGCTCGCTCACAACCTCACATTATCTGATTCAATGGACTTGTTTTTCAGGGAAGAGATGTGTAGGATTTGCTTGACCCACTTTTCTTCAATAAAAATGCTTATTTTTGGATATGGCAGAATGGTGCAAAATGATTCTGCAGTAGTGATTAAACATGGTTTTAAAAATAAGGAGTGATCATGTAAACATGTTTCACAGAATTAATCTTACCATTCACCACAGTCTTGTTCATCAAAAACACTGTTGATTCAAAGTCTATTAGATAACACTAGAAAGTGAAAATACTGAATCATTAAAAGTTACACAAACAGAAATCCCCTTTAAAAATAAACTGTGACATCCTACAATAGTTTTACTTCATCTGCAGTTACAACATGAAACATTCTCTGGAATTTCTAAGTAAAGTATAGTAAGTGTCTTTTTGTCTGTCTCTGTGCATGACTCAAAAAACAACTACAAAAACTCAATACACTGAGCATACTCTTCATTAACTTATCTATACATCTCCTTGTTTACTGGTACATGAATTTGCTTTAAAAGTAAACATTTTTTAGTGTTGAACAGTTGAAAGAAGAAATCTTACACATTTCTCAGAAATGAAACTGGAATTCATGAGCAGCAAACTTCACCCTCGTTCATTCTGATGCTGCTACAGCCTTATACTTGGTCCGGTGTGACCAGAAGTTTATGGTGACTAATGTCAGAAAACGTTAGATGGATATTGTTGTGTAACTGACAGTTTGCAGACTTCAAGACTCTTCAAGACTACTTGTGCTGCACTACATTTAAGCATTTAACATTATACTTGTGAGGCCAAAGGTGATATTCAGCACTGAAAAGCTTCTGGCTGGATTACCGTAAATTAACCAGTAGGACGACGCAGCATACTTGGCCGAAACAATACCCGGATATCCAAAAAAAAAAAAAAAAAAAAGGAGACTTGAAGGATACGCAAGGTTTAACATGGAAAAAATAATATCAGCTGGGGCTGCTCTTGAAACTTATTTCATCCTTGAGTGGGGTGCAGAGAGGGTGAGGCAGGCATGCAAAAGCAGCGGAGGAGGGGTGAACAAGTGACAGTGAAGACCTGAACAGAGGAGGAGAGGGGAAGAGAGGGAGGGAAAGGAAAGAAAGATAAACACTCAGGCCTTGCCAGTCATATTTCTGTTCGGGGATTGTATAAACATCCTGCTCGGCTAAGAATAACAGAACATCGGCCTAATAAAACATAAAGGGGTACAATGAGGAGGAAGTGGGGGTGCACGAGTAACAAGTCAACCTGTGAGGAAACAAACATACACAGACTACAGTTACATCTATCACTGCTTCAAGTGTCAAGCGGGGCAGTACAGTGTGTCCCTCTCACAGAGTGGAAATTGATTCATAGAGGAGTCATTAGGTGATCTATAAGTAAGTAACCTGTACATGTATGACATAAGATCACCACGGACCACAGCTTGTAATGGAGTCTACACCCAAGAGCACATTGGGAAGTCCCATCTGAACGTGATGATGCCGAAACTGCACTGCAAGAGGCAAGTGACAAGACACATTTTAATCCAAATGGCCATTAATTAATGCATGAGGCTGATGGAGCAGATGGCTCTTTACCTCTTGACCCAGTCAAGATAATGCATACGTGGTCCTGCCAACGTCCTAATGCCACATCCAGCCAGGGCACAGATGGACAGCAGGTACAAGACAGTGTTCATGTAACGCGTGCCCAAAACATACATAACTAGGATTACTAGAGTTTAGAGCTGGAATTAATTGTTGATTAGGTGAGACAGAAGATTTATCAGCAGCCATTTTTTAAAATCAATGTAATCAGTCAAGAAAGTAAAGATGCCCTCAAAAATTCCAGCTTCTCAAATATTTAATAGTTGTTTTTTCAAAACAAGCAATTTGGAAAAGTCATCCTATACTGAATACAGTACACTACACTACACTGAATAAAGAATCAAGAATAATTGACATAATCAATAATGGAAACTATTTTTGTTGTAGCCGTACAAGAGTTGACTTATTCAATATATTGTTTGTAAATCTACGGCCATATAAAAGATGACCAATTTTAATCAGTGATTTCCTTTCCAGTGTATTTTTTAAAATGACTTTAGTGTTACAACAAACCTTTGGAGATAAAATGTCTCAATTTGTCTTCAATATTTTCCGATTTTTAACTCTGGATTACAACAGCTCGAGGTGCAGACAAATGCACTGACCCAGTGACCAGCAGAGAAGCAGAACACTCTGTAAAACATCTACCTAACCTCATTATACAGTGACCACATTTCCGATAGTCTTACCTAAGCATGACACCGGGTTTATCCACCTGTCACAAGAGTATACAAGGTCAAGGCCATGCTAGGTCCATGTGTATCTGTACTGTAGTGGTGCTGACAGGAGCCCCAAGTGGTCTCTGCAACAATCTCACTGCACAAGAAGGGGAATTTGCATCTTGCATTATCAACATCGTTTCCCCCCTCTGCCACCCCACGGTTCTTACTACTACTATCATAAATCTCAGCCTGTGTGGTGACAGGGCAAAGCTGCCGACGTTCCATGCCTGCTCGGAGCTTTCCACCAGCCGAGTCACACCGCTCTGCAGGTATGTGGGTGGTGCGGGGACTGAGTAAGACCCCCCCCCTTCCAAGAGTGTGCTGGAATGAATGGGTTGTATCCAGATTCCTGTGAGTTGAGTCTGCCACACATCATGGATGAGCGACCACTCTGCTGCCTTAAATGTAATCTTTGAAAAAGGTGGGAGTGAAATCTTATCGACCTTTTATGCCTAGCAACTTGCACCAAGTTTTCTGTTATGCTGCTATGCATGTGTTTGGCTATTGTTGTGGGCGGCTGTGGCTCAGAGGCACAGCGGGTCGTTCCTTAAATCGGAAGGTTGTGGGTTCGATCCCCGGCTCCTGGTGCGACATGTCGAAGCATCCTTGAGCAAGATACTGAACCCCAAATTGCTCCCGATGCCGTGTGAATGTGTATGAATGCGTTAGTTTCTGTTCGATGGACTTTGCCATCACTGAGTGAAAGTGTGTAAAAGCGCTTTGAGTGGTTGGAAGACTAGAAAGGAACTATACAAGTACAGGTCCATTTACCATTTGTGAGAAAAATGGTTTCCTGTTCACACAAGGACACACAGTGCAGACATTTAAAAAAAAAAAAAAAAAAAAAAAAAATTCAGCATGCAGATCAAAGTCAAATTCAAGCCCATCTCTGAAATAAAACTAACCCGGCAGAAAAAGTAGCATTACAGAGCAGAGAAGCATAAGTCTACTGTAAGTAAGCAGAGGCAAAAAAAGCAAAGTGTGGTTACAGTAAAGAGGTCGATTCTGAACTTCCTGGTAGAGACAGCCAGAAGACTGCTGAGGTTTGAACAGCGCTCGCAAACAATGTTTCAAAGAGACTTGCATATCCTCTCTACAGACAGGAAAACAGTCGACAGATAAGAGAACAGAGAGGCTCAAATAAACAAAGATGCACTCACTATTCCTGCATCAAGAAGTAACTAAATGAGTCAGTACTAATTTCCAGGGGGAAAAAAAGAAAAAAAAAAAAGATACTGATCATAGGATATTAGTAATAGATAGGATCAGAGTGCATCCATCCTTCTCCAATTGCACTGCACCTGCAGCACTAAAGACCAAAGGATGAAAGCAGTTTCTTAGTCTATTCAGGCATTTCACGATACAACAAAGTAAGCCTGTGTGCTTCCTGGTTCAAAATAGGGTCTTGAAAAGGGGATTAAAATGGCATTTATCCTTAAATAGAGTAGCTGAAAATAAAGATGACACTGTGTGACCACGCTGACTTTTCTGAATTGGCACACACGGCAACATTTATCAAGCTGGGGGGCTGACAACCATTTTCTTACCAAAAAAAAAAAGAGAGAGAGACCTAGAATTTTCTTTTTTTCCTCCCAATCTGTGTGCCATGACATTTCTATTTTCAGGGGCAACACCCCACAGAAAATCTCAAAAGGAAACAAGAGTGGGTGTAGCAACAAAAAGGTGGCTGATTCTGGGGGGGGAATTCACCAAGCAAAAATAAACCACAGCTGTATACTTCATTCTTACCTTACCTGTCAGGTGCACAGCCAACAAATCTAATGTTTGATACTTGATTTTCTATCTAACAGCTGAACAAAAAAAAAAAAAAAAAGAAAGGCACAAATCAAGCAAACCACTGCTGCTGACACATGTGAGCAGGTGAAAGTGGAAGAAAGATGCGAGTACTCACCAGTATATCTGCGGGGAAAATACAGACATGAATTCACACCTGCTGTCAATTCTGCTGATTAGGGAATGTAATTACAACCCACTGACTTCTCTCTTACTTGTACTGCCTGTTTTTTCTTCCCCCCCTTTCTCCAAGACAGCACAGGACAGTGCTCATGCAAACCGAAAGTAACTGCGACAAGTCTGACGGGCTGAGGACGGAAGCTCTTTAAATTGGTGCGTCTGATCATCACCACGGTTGTGTTGGGTATTTATGCGGGAGGCGTGTGCTTCGTGCGGCCAGAGACACACCTCCTCTCCAGTCTGCACGGGCACGAAAAAAAAAACCTCAATGGCAGCTCATTATCAGCAGGAGCCAATCAGAGCACAGGTGACCCCCCTCCGCCCTCCTCCTCCTCCTCCTCCTCCATCCTCCCCCCTCCCCCCAGCCCTGATGACGACAGCAGCGACTGAACTCTCTCATTGGGAATGGACAAGCAGATACTGCATGATGCTATTGATTTGTAGTCTCCAAGGCAACAAAATGACAGTCTTACCTCCTCTTGAATGACAAAAAAACAAAAAAACAAAAAGAAAACACACTGATTCGCCCGTTTGGTAATCCGTGACATTTATCCAAATGAGGAGAGAGAGGGGGTGGGGGCTCTGCCTGGGCTCATTCACAAATATATATTCCAAGGGCAAGTCAATGTCTGCATATTTCAGCAGCAATGAATGGTCACTCCTGCTGGGTTTTTTGTCTTTTAATATAAAACAAACTATGCAGAGTACATGTTTCTACAACAGCTTGTCCTGTTTCATGAATTATGTCCTCAAAGTATAATAACCCTGATTTTCCAGGACCTTGTCGTGTTTATGGTCAGGACCTCTAGGGCTTTGTTAACCTTCACACTTTATAAAATGCCCAGTCGTCTTTTCCCCCCTGCACGCAGTGTACTTTACATTTGGCTCAAATAAAGCAGGTGCACACAGGACACACTCCAGTTTTAGGAATAGGTGGTAAAATGCCAGTAGGCCTCTACTGCCATCTTGTGACATTAAGATGGATAACGTGCTCTTAGTTGTCTCATTCATAATAATACATATTCAGTGTCACTTTGGAAGATGGTACTTTAGGGTACATCTTTAAATATTCTCTCATTGTCTTTGTGGTGACATGAACACCACATTATAATGCCGCTCACAACATCAGCGAATCTGGCAGTTTGCAAATGCCCTTTATTAAAATCTCTTGGGTGACAGCAGATGGCCCACATGCCCTGCAGAAATAGACAGTTTGTGCATCTGATTTTAAAATGCTTGACAAAGAGTTTTCTTTTGCTTCTATGAAGATTTTTGATAAACTGATACTGAATATAAATGTGATAATGGAAGACAAAACAATAAAAAGGCAACTCTGGTACACAAATGCTTGACACCTCAATGCTTTTCTGTATTGTGTTGCTATACATTCAGACTGTTATACTTTCCTCATGTTTACCAGTGCACACCTTGCCCCAAAATCTTGGTTGCTTTGAAAATAAGTGAGAACAATCAAAGGTCAGACATACTGTAGTTCAGAGCTGAAAACAGAGGGTGTGAACCCAGACTGCAGCATAGATTTTCAAAAAAACATAATCATGAGGCCTCATTTTTGGCCTCTTTGGAACTTAGCTGTTACTAGGTACAG